ATTGTGTAGATCAATGCTCCTGCTGTTGATCACTGGATTGTCTGGTCCAGACTCTATTATTTACAGACTCCCGCCATATAGGTGGAATATTGCTGAGTGTGGCGTAAAAACTGAACTCACTCACTCATGGATGTATATAACCTGTTTTGGTTACTATATGGCTGAAATATTGCTGAAGTGCAAGAAATCTTAACTCATTCACTCAAACCAGTTAACTCAGTTATAATCTTGTTATTTTACTGTCCTTCGTCGACAGGTTTTGATATAATGATAATTTAATTGTATTTATCGTGATATTATACCTTTAAAGGCACAATATGGCTGAAATATTGCAAATGTGACGAGGAATCTTTACTCACTCCCTCAAAACCAGTTAACTCGCCCATTCTTTTTGTCATTTTCCTTATCCAAACCTTACTCGGATAAACTACCTCAGGATCATCTGTAGGTTTCTATTTCATAACCTGTGAAGGTATACGTAAGACTGATTCTGTCATGTCTGTACATATGCCACATCTGAACTTTGGCCATTGACAGAATGTTACTCCTACCACAGTTTTATATTTGGGAATTGTAATGGATGGTTTAATATGTGTACAATCCCATGCAGCCAGAGGAATTGTGAAAATCTGGTTGGAGAAGCAGAAGTATTGCAAGTCCCCATGGCGCCAAGTACGATCATGATGACTGCCTAACCTGGGCTGCTGGTGATCCATAACCCGATTTTATATTGTGCTGTTGAATGATGATCTCAAACTACAAAATGTCAGGATCTAGTTGTTATACTGGTCTTTGCTCACATCTTAAAAAATGTAAAATATATATTTTCGCAGTGCATGACTTTCTGTCATAATATTGCTGAAATATTGCTGATTTGACCTAAACATTTATCATGACCTTGACAGAAGGTCCTTGTTATCAGTCACTTCACTTTTTTTCTTTCTAATTTGTATATATGTATAGTATGCGAGCCTATCTGACTGCCAATCTCACCAACTGACAATCATCATCGAAGGGGAGTGTCATGTTATCTTACACTCTGATATACTTTATCTGTTAATTCTCAATCAGTTATAATCTTGTTATTTTACTGTCCTTCGTCGACAGGTTTTTATATAATGATAATTTAATTGTATTTATCATGATATTGTACTTTGAAGGCACAATATGGCTGAAATAATGCAGATGTGATTAGAAATCTTAACTGACTCTCTAACAGACAGCAGTGAGTCTACCTGACCGTCCACCTCTCCATCTTACCACCCACCTCGCCATCTGACCACCATCATCCAAGTGTCTGTGTTATGTTATCATAAACTCTGATATACTCTATCTGTCCACATGCGGCTGTGAGTGTACCTGACTACCATCATCCCTGTGTCTGTGTCATGTTATCATACACTCATGATATACTCCATCTGTCCACAGGCAGCAGTGAGTCTATCTGACCACCATCATCCCAGTGTCTGTGTCAAGTTATCATACACTCTGATATACTCTATCTGTCCACAGACAGCAGTGAGTCTACCTGACAACCCACCTCTCCATCTGACCGCCATCATCCCAGTGTCTGTGTCAAGTTATCATACAGTCTGATATACTCTATCTGTCCACAGGCAGCAATGTGTCTCCCTGACCACCATCATCCCAGTGTCTGTCTCATGTTATCATACACTCTGATATACTCTATCTGTCCACAGGCAGCAGTGAGTCTATCTGACCACCATCATCCCAGTGTCTGTGTCAAGTTATCATACACTCTGATATACTCTATCTGTCCACAGACAGCAGTGAGTCTACCTGACAACCCACCTCTCCATCTGACCGCCATCATCCCAGTGTCTGTGTCAAGTTATCATACAGTCTGATATACTCTATCTGTCCACAGGCAGCAATGTGTCTCCCTGACCACCATCATCCCAGTGTCTGTCTCATGTTATCATACACTCTGATATACTCTATCTGTCCACAGGCAGCAGTGAGTCCATCTGACCACCATCATCCCTGTGTCTGTGTCATGTTATCATACACTCTGATATACTCTATCTGTCCACAGACAGCAGAAAGTCTACCTGACAACCCACCTCTCCATCTGACAACCATCATCCCAGTGTCTTTGTCATGTTATCATACACTCTGATATACTCTATCTGTCCTCAGGCAGCTGTTAGTCTACCTTATCACCATCATCCCAGTGTCTCTGTCAAGTTATCATACACTCTGATAAACTCTATCTGTCCACAGGCAGCAATGTGTCTCCCTGACCACCATCATCCCAGTGTCTGTGTTATGTTATCATACTCTCTGATACACCCTATCTGTCCACAGACAGCAGTGAGTCTACCTGACAACCCACCTCTCCATCTGACAACCATCATCCCAGTGTCTTTGTCATGTTATCATACACTCTGATATACTCTATCTGTCCACAGCCAGCTGTTAGTCTACCTGATCACCATCATCCCAGTGTCTGTGTCATGTTATCATACACTCTGATATACTCTATCTGTTCTCAGGCAGCAGTGAGTCCATCTGATCACCATCATCCCAGTGTCTGTGTCATGTTATCATGCTCTCTGATATACTCTATCTGTCCTCAGGCAGCTGTTAGTCTACCTGATCACCATCATCCCAGTGTCTGTGTCATGTTATCATACACTCTGATATACTTTATCTGTCCACAGACAGCAGTGAATTTACCTGACCGCCCACCACTCCATCTGACCACCATCATCCCAGTGTCTGTGTCATGTTATCATACTCTCTGATATACTCTATCTGTCCTCAGGCAGCTGTTAGTCTACCTGATCACCATCATCCCAGTGTCTGTGTCATGTTATCATACTCTCTGATATACTCTATCTGTCTTGAGGCAGCTGTTAGTCTACCTGATCACCATCATCCCAGTGTCTGTGTCATGTTATCATACTCTCTGATATACCCTATCTGTCCACAGACAGCAGTGAGTCTACCTGACCGCCCACCTCTCCATCTGACCACCATCATCCCAGTGTCTGTGTCATGTTATCATACTCTCTGATACACCCTATCTGTCCACAGACAGCAGTGAGTCTACCTGACAACCCACCTCTCCATCTGACCACCATTATCCCAGTGTTTGTGTCATGTTATCATACACTCTGATATACTCTATCTGTCCACAGACAGCAGTGAGTCTACCTGACCGCCCACCTCTCCATCTGACCACCATCATCCCAGTGTCTGTGTCATGTTATCATATACTCAGTCGAGAAGCAGCTGTTACATCGATATTGCCTGGAAGTATTTTATAGGTGAGACAGTTGCCTTGGTTACAGTTATACTGTACTCCTTTATTGACAGATCTAGATGAGCCTGTAGTCTTGGATGCAGTAAGACTGACTGTGTATTTATAGATGAAATTAATGTCATGGTTACAGTGATACTTTGTGTTTAAAGATGTGACACATGTCATGGCTGCATTTATAGTGTGAGGATTCCTTGACAGACTGTGGTCATGGTATGGTGATGCTGTATTTGAGAATAGACTATTATTATGCTTCTCTGAAAATAAATTGGTGTCAGAGCAGTAGTGGTTTATGTTGCCATAGCAATATATGTTGTTATAGCATCTATATTTACTTGTTGTCATGGTCACATGTTCTGAATCACTGGAACATTGTGGATGTGGCGTCAAGCAATATTCACTCACTCACATGGTAATGTTTGTTACTTGTCACAGCAGTTGTGACTGCTTGTTGTCATAGCAACACTTATTTGTTGTCATGGTAACAAAGGATGTGTTTTATGGAACCAGGGCTGTGTGGAGGGTAGGGAGAGAAGTGCATGAAATCATGGTTCTGTGTCATGTGTTTGGTGGGTTGGGTGTTTATCTTTTTGTTCCTTTTACAACTGTTTTTGTGCAAAAAGACCATGTTGTCTCATTTTACAGAACACGATTCCAAAACGTGTTATGCAAATAAACCTGTGAATACACTATGACATGGTTGGTTGGTTTTATAGTTTTAGGGCGACGCGGGCCAATAAGAGGCCTTTTTGCACCCAACACATTGACTGGATTTAATAAACAATAATAGGTAATTTCATCGCCAAAAGGAATCGTTTAGTTAATATTAATTTGGATATATGTATACATATTTCGAATAACCTCTGCTTTGTGTTACGGATTAAAAACCTTAAGTAATCACTTCCATTTCTGAAACATGAAATACTCATTCATTAAAAAAAAGCAGTAGGTTCAGATGACAAGGTGTTTAAATGTCTATTCATATTTTCCAGATGACGAGACAAAATCTAAGACTGCCCGTTGCACAGACCCATACATGCTATTGGGGCCCAAAACTGTTTCTAATGAAAATACATCATCAACCTCAAGTACAGCACTTCTGAGATTATGTCTTATGTTGTTATGCCCAGTGCATGTAATTAGATAATGTTCGATATTTTCAGGCGTGTTCCAAAACGTGTTATGCAAATGTAAACCTGTGAATACACTGTGACATGGAATCTGGATAGAGTTGTCTCCCTTCCAGTAGAACGTTGTACAGTGTTATGCCTGATTTGATGTGTGCATGTATGAGGGAGAGGTCAGGTCATTGCACTATCTACATAACTTGATCTGACTTTGTTAAATATTTTGACGAGGCAGTGGGGTAGCCTAGTGGTTAAAGCATTCGCTCTTCACACCAAAGACCAAGGTTTGATTCTCCTCATGGGTATTATTTATTATTGGATATTTATATAGCGCATATATCCACGCAACTGGTACATCCTGAAGGCGCTGATATTTTTCCCCTCGGTCCTTGGATGTCAATCTCAACGGCACATCGTATTATCAATCTCAACCCACTGGGGAGTATACCACTCTTGCAGCCACTAGGCGCACCGAGTTATTGCGGCTTTCTCATCCTAAAGAGGTACCCATTCACAGCTGCGTGGACTGGGACACATAGTCACGGAACTTGTCCAGGTTTACTGCACGTTGCTGTACCCACAACTAGGGAGAGAGAGAGGTTTATTCAAGTAAAGGGGCCACAGGCCCATTATACAAATGTACAAAGTGCAAGGTCTAACAAGCGCCATAAAATATTCAATATTAGCACAAGTGCTAATCAGCAGATACAAGAGGCTGTAGGGGTACTATACACTCAAGAATGCATTACGCTTCTTTAAAGCTAGATACACAAATTTTCCAAGATTATTAATAAGAAGTATATTCTTCGTCATGAACAACTGAGACAGTTTCTGTTGTGACGGGAAATTGTAATAATAATTTGGAATTGTCATTTCTCTAAGATTATTATAAAATGGACATTCTAGGCAAAAATGAAATTCGCTTTCTACAGTAGGAATAATACACAATGGACACAAGCGTTCATTTCGCTTTAGACCAAGGCGTCTACCATATTCAATCATTAACATATGACTGGAGCTTCTAATTCTACTTAAGGCAATACGAAATACTTTGCATTGAACGTGATTAATGTAGAACTCTAAGCAAACTTTGTTTTTGATATTACTCAGAAAATCAAGTTTAGAAAAACACAGCATATCACCTTTCCATGATTGATTATGAACGTCAATACATCTTTGTTTGAACAGAGATATGAAAGTAGTGACATTCCCAACATTCTGGTAAAACCAGGCATATCCAAAACCATATTGATTTAGAAGTCTTTTTTACACTTAGTGCCCAACATGGGCGTCCTTTCTCTTCGGTTCGATATTGATATTCATACACTTTCTTTAAAATAACATTATCAGCTTGAGATACCAGTCTTATCCAATATTTAATAATTTTACAGTAAATATTAACTTTAAGGGAGTGTCTACCAAGCTCGGCATGAGCGAATATATTCGGGGTGCTTCTTGGAAGATTGAGAACTTGTTTGCAAAATTTGTCATGGATATTAATAACATTAGGTGCTGTGTGAAATCCCCATACTTCGCTGCCATACAGTAAGATTGGGAGAATTTTAACATCAAATATTTTGAACAAAACATGAATGGGGAGATTTGAGAAATTAGGTATTGATGATCTCAGTATACCAAGAACTTTCCATGCTTGTTCTAAGCGAGGGTTTTGAGTTATATACCACGAGCCTGAGCTGGATAAATGAACCCCTAAGTACTTATAGGATGAGACAGTATCAATAACATTATTTTTAGATAAAATCGTTCGCATTTCTTAAGTCTGCCACCCTTTCTAAACACAATAATTTTACTCTTTGCTACATTGATTTTAGTTTCCAACGGTCACAATAACCAACTAATTTGTCTAATCTCTTTTTGGAGACCACAAACAGAAAAGTCAAAGATTACAATGTCGTCAGCAAATAGTAATATAAACAATTCAATTAGTTCCAGATTCACACCCCTCTGGTTATCTAATGCTAGGCTCTCTACAATATCATTTACAAAAAAAATGAGAACAAGAAAGGGGATAGTTGGCAACCCTGGCGGACGCCATTTTGGCACTCAAAAATGCTGTATATCCTTCATTTATAGAGACACATGATCTTACAGATTTGTACATGTTTTTCAATAATCTGAATAATTTCCTTTAACATTTCCCAACCACAGTTTATAGAAGAGACTGTTCCTGTCAACCGAATCAAACGCAGCTTTCAAGTCAATAAAAGCACAGTATAATCTTCCTTTATACAGAGAGGTATCTTTGAACGATCGAATTCAATATAAATATATTATCACGGGTTTGGAATCCATGTCTAAAGCCTGCCTGTTCTGGGGCAAGGAAACTTTCCCGCTCAGCCCAGAGAGTTAGTCTAGTACTTATAATTTTGAAAATATTTTGCCAGATACTTCAAGTAAGGTTATAGGCCAGTAGTTGGCTGGATCATTGACATTACCCTTCTTGAAAATAGGAATAATTACTCCTACTGTCCACTCAGTCGGATAGATACCCGTAGATAGGACACCGTTAAATAAAGATTTCAACATGTCTATGCATTCTCTTGGGGCGCTTTTGAAGAATTCAATAGCAATACCACTTATACCTGGGGATTTGCCACATTGCATACTGTTTATGGCATCTACAATTTCCTGATAACTTATTTCGTTGTCTAGATCATCATAATTTGCAGATTGTTCAATAAATTCTTCACTGATAGACAAAAACAAATTGATTCACCTCATTATAGAATTCCTCATACTCTGAGAAATGCAGACCTTGGAAGAGATCATGAAAGTGTAAGTTCCAGTCTATAGGTTTTATCTTATTTTTGTAAATTGTGATTTAGGGTTTGACAGTTTTCCAAAACAATTTATTATCTTTAGTACATAGTGCACTGCATAGTTTATCAGTAAAGTCTGCCAAAGATGCTGACTGCTTAGATGCACATAGCTGTTTATAGGAGGACCACGAATCGATGTACCGTTGTCGGTCACAAGAACCGTTACTGGCATGGAAGGCACGGAGTAAGCGTCGAGCTACATTTCGTGCTGCAAGGCATTCATCATCGTACCAGTTGTCTCCCCTTGTGTATATGTGATCCGACCAGTTGGCGTTGCTTACAGTGTTCGGCGCATGACTCGACAGTGGCATGAAACAAAGAGGAAGCACTGTTGATATCATTGTTTTCAATATGGCTATTAAAAATTTCCATAACATTTGGCTCTAATGATTGCCAATTAGTAGCGTATTCAGACAGAGATTCTCCTTTAAAGAGAATTTGATCTTTGGTGTTAGATTATACAACTTAGTGTTAGTGTTTACACCCATATCAAACAGCAATGAGAATGTCACTGGTAAATGAGTCAATTCTACTTCTTCAGATATTTCAAAATCATTGAACAATGAAAAGGCATTATCAGAGCATAAAACATAATCCACGACACTCTGGCCACTATTAGCAAAACATGTAATTTTTCCAATATTGCTATCTTTAAAGAACCTACCATTGCATATTCTAAGCCCAGTGTTGATACAGAAGTCTAGGAGGGCGTGGCCACGTCTATTGATAACAGCATCCTGGGATACCCGTTGTGGGATGTCGTCGCCAGGGACATAGTTGATGTCCTCGTCTATAGGCAGATGTGTTGGGTCATCGTTGTAGATATAGTCTTTGTATGAACCATCGCCTGTCCGCATTGAGATCGCCCTGGACTATAACTCTGCAGAGTGGATCTGAAGACCGAAATTGCTGATTTCTTCCTCAAGTATATCAAACACTGCCTCATCAGCATATCTGCTAGAATTATCTGGAGAGTAATACACAACACCGAAATATAATGTTAGAGCCTGATTAGAGGCTTTATATGAAGCCAGGAAATGTTTTCACTACAGCTGGGTATGAAACAAACTTTGAAGTCGTGTCCGATACCATGATTACAATGCCACCGGAGTTCCTGAATGCTTGTTCCTGTTTCTGTCGTGTTGTGTTTGTAGATAGTGTAGCCAGGAAAGGAAAAAGACGTCAGAGGGATTGGACCAGGTTTCAACTAAGGAGATGATATCATAATTTTTCCAACAGCTAGTAAATATCGATTTACCAAACTTGTTTTGATGCCTCTATATTCCAGAATAGACACTTGCATGTGG